ACCATGTTACCTCCCAGGGATTCAGCTACCCTCTCTGTATAGATGACTGCCAGATCTACATATCTAGCCCTCTTTTCTCCTAAGCTTCAGTCTCCTTGCAAAACTGCCTGCTGCCCATCTCTACCTGGACAACCCACAGTCATTTCCAGTTGAACACATCCAAAACTTAATTCCTTATCTTCCCCGAAGCTATCCACCCTCCTAACTTCCTTATTTCTATTGAATGCACCACTGTTCTTCAGTCACCTAGGTTTGCAACCAAAAAAATGCATCCTGGATCTTTCTCTTTCTCCTACCATTGATGTCCAATCGGTTGCCAAATCCTGCTGGTTCTACCTCTACACCATCTGTCAACATCCATCCCTTTCTCCCTGCATCATGGTGAAAGGGATTTGGACCTGGGTTCAAATCTTGGTTTGCTACCTGTGGGGCCTTGGAGAAGACCCTTCTTAGGCCTCACCCTTCTTATCTCTTAAATAGAGGAGCTGAAGTAGACAACTTCTAAGGCTCTTCCCAGCTCTACATCCATGTAACTATGATGACTGCTACTTTAAGACCTTCATCCTCCTCTATGGACTATTGCAAGAGACTTCTAATTGGTCTCTTTGCATCCAGTCCCCATTCTCTAATTCATCCTTCCTCTATACCTTTGCCAACGTGATGTTTCTAATGCACAGTGTTGACCACATCACCCCCTTATCTCTATAAAATGCAAACTCCTCTGTTTGGCTATTTAAAGTCCTTCACAATCAGACTACAAACTAGCTTTCTTTTTTTAAAATACTATTTTATTTTTCCCAATTACATGTAAAAGCAATTTTAACATTCATTTTTATTTTGAAGTTTTGAGTTCCAAATTATATCCTTCATTTCTCTCCCCCTTCCTGAGTTGGTAAGCAATCTGATTTAAGTTGTACATGTGCAGTGATGTAAAACATTTGCATATTAGTCATTTTGTGCGAGAAAACTCAGAAAAGAAAGAAAAAGAAAGGAAGAAAAGAAAAAAGAAAGGAAAGAAGAAAGAGAAAGAAAGAAAAGGAAGGAAGGAGAAGAAAGTGAAAATAGTATATTTCAGCATCTATTCACATTACATCAGTTCTTTCTGTAGAGGTGGATAACATTTTTCATCATGAGTCCTTTGGGATGGTCTTGGACCATTGTATTGCTGAGAACAGCTAAGTCATTCACATTTGTTCATTGTATAATGTTGCTTTTACTATGTATAACATTCTCTGCTCACTTCGCCTTGCATCAGTTCATGTAAGTCCAGGTTTTCCTGAAAGCATCTTGCTTGTAATTTCTTATAGTACAATAGTATTCCGTCACAATCATACCACAACTTGTTCAGTCATTCCTCCAGTTGATGGGTGTCCCCTCAATTTCCAGTTCTTAGCCACCACAAAAAGAGCTGCTATAAACATTTGTGTACAAATAGGTTCTTTCTCCCCCTTTTTAAAATCTCTTTGGGATGCAGACCTAGCAGTGGTATTGTTGGATCAAAGAGTATGCACAGTTTTATAGCCCTTTGAGCATAGTTCTAAATTGCTCTCCAGAGTGATTGAATCTGTTCACAACTCTACCAACAGTGCATTAGTGTCCCAGTCTTCCCACATTCTCTCCAACATTTATTATTTTCCTTTTTTGTTATATTAGCCAACCTGCTGAGTGTGAGGTGGTACCTCAGAATTGTTTTAATTTGCATTCCTCTAATCAATAGTGATTTAGAGCATTTTTAGCTTTCTTTTTTAAAGTTAATTTTCTTCTTTACTATTAACTTAATAATCATCAACAAATGAGAGTATTTAAATATATAAAGCAAAATTGTGTATAAAACCAAGAACATTTATTAAAATTTGTTTTTTAAAGTACATATTAAATTTAACATGGTAGTAATAAAATTGTTGTTTGTATCCCCTTTTGAATTTTATTCTTCTATTTTAAAAAATGCTTGAATGATATTCTTTTTTTTTTTTAATTGGCATCTCGGGGTAGCTAGGTGGCACAGTGAAAAGAGCATAGGCCCTGGAGTCAGGAGGACCTGAGTTCAAATGCGGCCTCAGACACATAACACTTACTAGCTGTGTGACTCTGGGCAAGTCACTTAACCCCAATTGCCTCACCAAAACAACACAAAACAAAAAATCAGCATCTCTAACACTATCTGCTCTCACACATCTTCTCTTTCCCACCCCTATCCCATACACACACACACACACACACACACACACACACACACACACACACACACACGTAAGCCTTCTCTTATAACAAATAACCATAGTCAAGCAAAACAAATCAGCACATTGGCCAAGTATGAGAATGTATAGCTTGCCCTGTGTGTCCATTGCTTCTCTGCCATGAAGTAGGAGGCATGCTTCCTCCTTGATCTTCAGTAGTCATGACTAGTCATTGCTTTGATCAAAGTTCTGAAGTCTTTCAAAATGGTTTTCCGTTCTGTTATCGTACTCATTGTGTCAGTGGTTCTGATTCTACTCATTTCACTCTGCATCAGTTCCTACAGGTCCTCCTTCCACAGCAAGCTTCTCTAAATCTCTTTCGTTATAGTGCAATATTATTCCATTGCATTCATGTACCAGAATTTGTTCAGCTGTTGCCCATTTCATGGGAAATCACCTTGTCTCCAATTCTTTGTCTAATTTGTCTTCCCAGGCTTATGACACATTACTTCCCTTCAAGCAATGTTTTCCAGCCATGCCAGCCTACTTAATGTTCCTCATATGGGATATTCCATTGGCCACCTTCTTGCATATTCCACGCCTAGAATGTTTTCCTCTTCACCTCTGCTTCTTAGAACCCTTAGCTCCCTTCAAAGCTCAGTTCAAATGCCTCTTCCTTCAAGAAATCTTTCCTGAATCACCCCAGTTATAACCTTCCTGCCCTCAGTCTGGGGAGATTTATTTTGTGTACATTTTATATTATTGGTGAACCTCTCATGTCCCACCCTACCTTCTCCTCCAGTAGAATGTAAGCGCCTCTCTATTGGTACCCTCGTTTAGCACAATACCTTAGAATGAGTGTAAATGGCAATTGTTTCTGTTCTGGGTAGAAATTTTGAGGGTCTTTCCCTCCTAGATTGATATTTTTGAGATGGTAAATTAGGTCAACTCTTACCTAGCCCTTCATCATTGTATGGGTATTGCCTCAGATAAACTGAGGCCTGGGAAAGACCTTAATTTAGAAAGGCCAAGGCCATCCACTGCATCCTGGGTCATCACCAGTGTCTTGACTTTTGTCTTGCCACTGGACTTTGATAAACTCTAGAGGAGAGAGTGAGGCTGACAACTTTGTGCAACTCTGCCTCACTTAAATCTAATTCTCAAGCAAGTCAAGATATTACCCTTCTGATGTCATTGGTCCTCTTTGAGAATGAAGGATGAACAACAACAACCTAGTGAGCACGTAATAAGTGTCTGTTGATTGACTAGCTGATCAATTGATTAAAGCAGAGCTGAAGAGCAAAAACTTCACTCAACCACTCTCATCTACATGGTGCCACTCATCTGATTGTTTTTCCCAATTTCCCCAAGTTCAGGTATTGTGTAGTCACAACCTTGGACTCTTACACTCTGTGTCTGCCCAAGACAATGACCCCCACAAATTACTGCTTAATAAAATTTGTTTGAGATGGTGAAGGGGATGGATATCTCCCAAGGTACCCTGCTCCACACTCCTCTATTTGAGGGTGATATTAGTATCAATAACTCACACTGATATAATACTATAAGGCTTACAAAGCACTCCTATTCCAAACTATTTAGAAATAAGAGAGCCCCCACAGAAGATTTGGAAGGGAGGAAAAGTCACCAGTGAAGCATATTTTTGTGAATCACTTTGGGTCATGGGAGACCTTGGAAAGCAAAAGAGGCAATACCACTAATCATTAAGTGCAGCATACAGGCTCTTAAACAACAGAAAACCCCAGAGAGCAGTACAGAATGGATATCTTTCTCACTCAGCTTCCCTGGATCTAAGAGTCTAGAGTCATCCCATTTCATCCTAGTATGATGCCCTGGTCTTTCTTTCTGTCACCCTTTTTTCTTTGGGGTACCCTGACATCCAAAGTGTCCAGTGTAAAACATCCAAAGAGTTTGAAGAAGATGGCCATTCCATGATAGGAGGCAATATTTCCATGTAACCATGAAAGTCTGTGTGTCCCTGTGGTACATTGAAAAGCGTGCTCTATTTGAAGAGGACCCAGAAAAGATCTCTTCCCTCCTGGATTTGGAGCCCAAAAATTTGGGCTGTGCCAACAGCAGTGTGACTTTACCTCTCTGGACCTCAGTTTTTTCATCTGTAGAATGGATTGTAGAGTGGATAACCTCTTAATGTCCCTGCCATCTCTAAACCTCTAACCTTCCCATGGAGACTTTGTAAGATCTACTTGGCATTTGAGAAGTAGAGCTCAAAGGGGCTCTCAGGGGGCAGCTACATGGTGCAGTAGATAAAGTTTCGGTCTTGGAGTCAGGGGGACCTGAGTTCAAATCCGGCCTGAGATACTTGACACTTACTAGCTGTGTGACCTTGGGTAAATCACTTAACCCCAATTGCCTCACCAAAAACAAACCAAAAAAAAGTCTTCCGTTAGGGCAGCTAGGTGGTGCAATAGATAGAGCACTGGCCCTTAAGTCAGGAGGACCTGAGTTCAAATCTGGGCTCGAACCAAACACTTGACACTTACTATCGGTGTGGCCCTAGGCAAGTCACTTAACCCCAATTACCTTAACGGGGGGAGGAGGGGGGCTCTCAGTCTTGGGATTGTGGATTTAGAGCTGAAAGGGATCTTGGATCTTTTAATTCAGTTCCCTCAATCTGCAGATAAGGGAAGTGAGGCCTATAGAAGGAAGTAACTTGTTTAAGGTCACCTAGCCAGATAGTAAAAGGGTCAAGTCCAGAGCCTAGATCCTTTGGATCCATGTTGAAAGGGTTTAAAATTCTTCCTTTGGGCTTTCACCCTGATAAACAAGGCAAAACTCAGGACAAAGAGAATTAAAAGGAGTTTATTACAAGTACATCAAGATAGCAACAAATAGACTGACAACTGGAGATTAGCGATGGCTTTAAGATGCAGCCAGCTTTTATAGATAACTTTTGTAATTAGATAAAGGCAATTCAGAATTTGCAGGTAGGGGTAACAATGTCAGAGGTGGGTGAGTGTGACCAAGAGAAGGTAATGCAGAAAGCTACTGACTCCATGTAGGTGTTCCCTTCTCCAACAGAGCCTCCCCCTACACTGTTTGACTAGCAGGGCTGGGAGCAATGAGTTACTGTGTCAACATAACTTTGAATGTCCAGATCCATTGGTTTTTACACCTAGATTGGGAAAGAGGAATGGCTAAGACAGGGAGGGGGCGTGGAAGACAGAGACAGAAAAGGGAGGGGAGGGTAAGGGAAGGAAAGGGAATGAGAGTTTAAAAAGGGAGGAGGAATTGAGAGAAAGGGAGGGAGGAAGGGAGTGAAGAAGAAATAGAGAAAAAAAGAGATAGGGGAGGGGGATGAGAATGAGTTACCACTCTTCCTACAGAGAGATTGGATTGTGAGCTCCTTGAGAATAGGAACTATTTTGCCACATTTTGTATCCCCGGCACTAAGTACAGTGCTTGGCACATAGTATGTGCTTAATAGATGCTCATTGACTGACTGACCATAAAAGCCTGGAGCTATATGGGTATAATGACTAATGTCACCTACTCTCTTTCTCTCCATCTATCTTCTATTACTTTCTCTTTCCATATTTCATATAAACCCCCCCCCCACCTGTTCATCGCTAAGTTTGACCCTTTTCTCTCTAACTTTATTTTCATCATTATGGGAATGGGGGTAACACTTTGGAAGGAGGTAAAAAAAAAGGATCAAAATGTGAAAACTTATTTTTAGCAAATCCACTCTCAGGCCTTGAAAACATCACAGTTCTATGGCGGCTTCATAGTATAATTCTAGTTGTTACCACTTTTTTGCACAGCTGTCCAAATCTGCATCTCCAGCTCAGGTTCTAAGCTTCACGTGGGCAGAGGTCGGTCTTGGACATCCTCTTTGTCCCCAAGTGTCTACAGCTCATGAGTGTGGTGCGCGAGAGACTTCCCCTTCCCCCCACCAAAACTCTTCTAACACCTCGCGTTTGAGATGTGGGGTAGAAGGGAGGACCGAAAGAAAAGACACAAGGCCCAGGGCAGCCCATGCCCACTCCTGGGAAAACGGCTCCGATTGTGGTTTTCAACAATGGCTAATAAGCATCTTCAAATGAAGTGAATGTAAACCAAGAGCGTACACACACACACACACACACACACACACACACACACACACACACACCCATAATGGGCTGTCTGTAAGGACAGGAATTGAACCTGGGATTTAATGGGAATGGGAACTCCCAGGTGAGGATACTCCCTTTACCAACACAAGTTGGCATTTTGTTTTAGAGAATTGCCTAGAACTTAGAGGTTAAGTGACTTGCCCAGGGTCACACAACCATAATGTGCCAGAGATGGGCCTTTAACCCAGGTCTTCTTGACTTCAGAGGAGTCACCTGTTAAGCCCTGCTGCCTCTCAGGCCATCTGTAAGTGACATCAAATAATAACAAAGTATTAAGTTCAGTCCGCTCTGCACCATCACGTTCCTCTTTTTACAGTTGTTGATGAAGATGTGCCACTTTTTTTCTTCTGAGTGAAAGCTGTATGAATAGTTGACATGTGACAACAGGTTTACATATTAGTCCTCGCTGACCCCACCTCAGTTTTGGGACCTGCTTGACTTGCTAACTGTTATGTGATCCAGGACTTGGGGAGGCAGGGGGGGAAATAACCCACTGTTTGACGTAACTTCTTGGGATATCATCCTCAACATGACTGGTGCCCAGGGCTGAGGTGCCTTCCCTTTCCACTGGACTGCCCCCCATGAAGTCACTTTCTAAGGGGCTGCCACAGTCAGAACCAGCAAATCCACTGTCGAAAGTGTCCATATCCAAGCTGACTAGTGGGTGGCCAAAGGCCTCTTTCTCTGAACTGCAGGAGAAGTGTGCGTAAGGTCCCTGGCTGAAGGGAGCACCCTCCCCTTCCTGTGAGGGTAGGGAGATAGGACTCCCTGGATCCCAGTCCTCTGGAGGATGCAGGCAAAGGGCTTCCAAAATACTGCCAATCGGGGCTTTTGGCCACACTGGGATCCTCCCAGGGCTCTCCATGGAGACGTGGCCAGAGGAGATGATTCTATCTTCTTTCCCCAAGAGCAGCTCACCAGAGCCCTGGCCATCAGGTTGGTCACCATCAAGATTTATCTTGGGGTAGTTGTCATCCCCACCACAGCCACCACCTCCATCCTGAGCTTGGTGACTGCAGCCACAGCACAGCTGACCAGACTCCTTGTCATCAACCACCATCACTGTGTCAAGAGATACATGGCCATAGGATTTGTCCTTCCCCTCACCACATCCTAAGGCAAAAGATCCAACTTCTTTCTGGGAGGGTCCAGGGGGGCATATTCCACAGTCTATCTTGGGTTGCCCATTGGCATCAATCAGCTCGATCCCTTTGGTGAGGCGGCCGCCATATACTTCCAGTACCTCTGGGGAGACCAGTCCCCAGTTGAATAAATTCAGAGTGCTGATGGTGTAAGATGTTCCCACCCAGCTCTGCAAAAGAGTGAGAGGAGTAGACATTGTCATTGTCTTAGACCATGGGAACCATCATCAAATCAATATTACCACTGCTTCTGAAAAGGAGGCTTCAATCAGCTCCACTGTGATTCCACCCACCATCCTTGTGACTTCCCAGATTGAAATGCCTTCACTGTCTACCACTCCCGTTTATGTGTTGTCTCCTTCTATTTGAAAGTAAACTTAGGACTGTCTCATTTTTATGTTTCTATCCTCATATTTTATCCTATCCTATCCTTTATATTTCTATACTTAGCACAGTGCTTGAGCACACAGGGCTTGGTAAATGCTTTTCACTCATTCATTCAAAGACTGAAGCAACTAGAATACTAAGGGGCTTGGTCTCTGGTGGCCAATGATTCTAGATAAAGAGTTTTTAAGGTTGGTTTTTATGGTTTTCCGAACAAAAATGAAAATTTGACTAAGATCCCAGATATGATACAAGATTCAATCAATTCACCCAGCCATCAGCTCCCACAGCTGGCCATATCATCCAGTTACTGCATCACAGAATGTCCAAGCTGAAAGGAATCTTATAACATGGAATTTTAGACCTGGAAGGGACCTTTGAATATGGAGTATTAGGGCTAAATGAAACTTAAGAGAGATCATCTTGCCCCATCCCCTAATTTCATAACTGAGGAAATTGAAGTCTGAAGAGATGAGGTGATGTGTTCAAGGTTGTGTAGCTAGGAAGTGAGTGACAGAACCCAGGGGGAAAATCCACCTATCCTGAGTCAGCAGAGGACAGCTTTACAAATCCCTTTCAACAATCCATAGACATCCCACCCAGCCCAGCTTCTAAATGCTCAATCCAATGGCCTTTTCTCATTCCTTATCCTTGACCTTTCTGCAGCTTTCAACAGAGTTGACGTCTTTCTCCTAGACAATCTCTCCTCTCTGGATTTTTTTTGTGACACTGTTCTGTCCTGGTATTTCTCCAATATGTCTGGCCACTTCTCAAGTCCTCTTTGGTGAGTCAAAAATTATGTTCCACACCCCTTGTGTGGTTGTATCCCAGGGTTCTGATTTGTGCATTGTTTTCTTCTTTTTCTATACTCTCTTTCTTGGGGATCCCATTGACTCTTATGGATTGAAATATCATCTCTTTGAAGCTGACTTCCAAATCTGCATATCCAGAGAGATAAATATCTCTCTCCAGAACTGTAAGCCTGAATCACCAACTGCCTGCTGGATATCTCCACCTGAAAGTCCCAAAGGCACTTCAAATTCTAAATATCCAAGACAAAAGTCATTGTCTCTCTCTTCCCTCAACCCACCCCTTTCCTTAACTTCCCCATTTCTGTCAAGTGCACCCACCATCCATCTTTTCAAACTCAGGTTCAAAAGTCATCCTCAACCCTCACTCTTTATGTCCAGTCACTTACCAAGTCCCCCTGATTCTACCACCTCACCGCCTTAAATCCATCCTCCTCCCTTCATGTGAAGTAAAATGTGCCCTCATAAGGGCAGGCAAAAAAATTAAAGATTGGCTGCTTACTACTGGCTGGGGTAGAAGAAGATAACAACAGCCTCTTTCCTGAACACCAGTTGCCTCCAGGACATTTCAAATTGGATGTCCTACTTATATGTAAAAAAAAACAAATTATAGCAGCTCTTTTTGGGGGGGTAAAGAATTAGAAGTTGAGGGGATGCCCATCAATTGGGAAATGGCTGAACAAGTTGTCGGACGTTGTTACGATGGACTACTGTTGTACTATAAGAAATGATGAGCAAATTCTCTCAGAAAAACCAGACACACTTGCATAAGCTGATATAAAGTGAAATGTACTGTGTACAAAGTAACAGCAAATTGTAAGGTGATCAGCCATGAATGACTTAGCTATTCTCAGCAATACAATGATCCAAGACAACTCTGGACTTAGGAAGAAAAATGCTATCTATCCCCAGAGAACTGATGGTGTCTGAATACAGATTGAAGCATACTTTTTTTAAACTTTGTTTTTCTTGAGTTTTTTTTTGTCTATGTTTTCTTTCACAACATGACTTTTATGGATATGTTTTGCATGACTACACACGTATAACCTATATCAAATTGCTTGCCTTCTCAATGAAATGTGGGGTGGGAAAGGAGGCAGGGAGAGAATTTGGAACTCAAAGTTTTAAAAACAAATGTTAAAAATGTTTTTACATGTAACTGGGAAAAAATAAAATACTAAATAAAAGCTAAGAACAATAAAAAAAAATAAGCTAGATGTCCTATAGGAATTTCAAACTTCCCACATCCAAAACAAAAATCATTATCCTTTCTCCCAAACCAAACTCTCCTCCTGACTTCCCTATGTGTGTTAAGGACACCATGACCATCCTCTCACTTATCGACTTTGGGAGTTGTTCTTACCTCCTGACTCTCCCTCACTACCATATTGGATAAGTTGCCAAATCGTCAGTTGTACCTTCCCAACATCTCTGAGATCTGTCCCCTTTTCTCCATTCCCATCACAACCACTCTAGTCCAAGACATCAGAATGATCGACCTGCATCAGCCTTTTCCTATATCATTGCCATAGCCTGCTAATTGGTCTCCCTACCTCAACTCTCTTTTCCAATCCATCTTCCACTCACTTGCCAAACTGATATTCCTAAAGGTCTGACCATGTCTCTCCTCTGCTCAGTAAACCTCAGTGACTTTCTATTGCCTCCAGAATAAAGAAGACACTCCTTTCTATGACATTTAAAATCCTTTATAATCTAGCTCTCATTTTCTAAAGTATTCTGGCTCCCATTTCTTAATGTTCTATCCTTCTTATATGTCCTTCCCTAAAAGTCAAGGTAGCTCTTCATTTCCCAACAGAGGCCCCCAGCACCTACTTCAAGTAAAGGCATTCAGGATTCTATCTGCTACCTGGAATTCCAAGAAAACTAGGACCTTGGTGGCACAGTGGGTAAGAGTGTTGAACTTAGAGTTTGGAAGACCAGAGTTCAAAATCCTGCCTCAGACACTTATTAGCTGTAAGACCCTGGGCAATTCACTCTACCTGTCTCAGCCTGTTTCCTCACATGTAAAAGAGGAATAAGATTAGCACCAACCTCCTCAGATTGTTGTGAGGACCAAATGAGAATGTATAAAGCACTTTGTAAACCTTATAGTGCTATAGAAATGCTATTATTATTGTTACTTTGTTATTATTATTAAATAAGAACAGGTAGAAAAACTCTCCAATGGCCTTTGGACAGATCCTGATTTGGGCTTGACCTTGCCTTGACAGTGTGGGTATGAGCTCTTTAGCATAATGCTTTACCGTTTTGCAAAGTGCTCTGAAGTAGGTACAGCAAATGTTATTAATCCCCATTTTGTAGATGAAGAAAGAGACTCAAAGAGGAAACCTGGTTTGTTCAATGCCACGAAAGCCAACAAATGGCAGAGCAACAAAACAAACTTTAGATGTTGGGGTCTAGCATTCTTTCTGCTAAAACATGAGTAATACAAATATGTACCCCACTTTCCTTGCAACAGTCTTGGGAGGTCAATAGCACAAAGAGCTAGGTGGGGCCTGGAGTCAGGAAGACTCATCTTCCTGAGTTCAACTCTGGCCTCAGATACTTACTAGATGTGTGACCCTGGGCAAGTCACTTAGGCCTATTTGTCTCAGCTTCCTCGTCTGTGAAATGAGTTAGAGTTAATTAAATGGCAAACCATTCCAGTATCTTTGCCAAGAAAACCCCAAATGGGGTCATGAAAAGTCAAACATGACTGAAAAAATGACTGAATTGTTGCCCTAGGCTCAGCAAGGAAATGTGATTTCATAGGATTTCAAAGGACAAACTTGTCTGTGGCTAGTATGTAGCAGACAAATATGTAGCAGACAAACCTGGATTTCCTGATTCTATGTCCTGGCTCTTTCAGTTTAAGCTAGGTGGATCATGGGTCAAACTCCTGTCAATCATTTTCAAAGTTCTTTCTGTTCTTCTGAGTTGTTAGGCTTAGTTTGTGGATAAATGGCTAGAATATTGTCTAAAATAAATAGATTTTCCAGTCAAGGTGGCAGAGTGATAGGTTGGAAGGGAACCAGGATATCCAAATATCACTCCAACAAAACCAACAACTACAAAGAGAATCACGAGAGAAGAGAGAGAGAGAGAGAGAGAGAGAGAGAGAGAGAGAGAGAGAGAGAGCGGCTAAGAAGCACATAAATTTTTAAAATCCAACAAAATATAAAAATGAACAAAGAAGAATGCTGATGTAATTTAAAATGCTATACCCATTGAATCAGGTAAAGTACCAGAAACAACTCAAATGGAAAAGAAAAAGAAAGAAAGAACTCAAGATATTTAGAGAGACATCCTCAAGTGGCAAGATGTTATATTAAAAGAAATTAGGCAAGAATTAATTCTAGGAAGAAAATTACAAGATCAAATAAAAGAAGATGTTGAAGAAAGTAAAAAATTATAAAATGAAATCAAACTACAATTTTCTAATTCTGAGGGGGGAAAAGATCACGAAAAAATAATGAAGACAATATCCAATAAAAAGAACATAATAGAAAAACTGAGAGAACCTATAGAATCATCTCCAATAGATTTACTCCAGTGGGAAACAGAACGACAGTTACTGTAGACCAAACAAAGGAAATCAGGCTCAGAAAAATCACAGAATTTTCCCAAGAATTAGAGATCTGGAGCAGAGATCATAACCCAAAAATCTCAGTATTAATGATATCCCATAAAATTTAGAGGAAAAAAACCAAAAAAATAGACACAATATTCCAGGAAATCACCATAGAAAATTCCCAGAACTACCAAAAATAAGTTGGATGTACAAATAGAAAGACTCTACAAGATCTTGACAAAATCCTAAGATTCAATATTTCTAAGCCTATTAGATTGGGCTCCAATCTGAGTCTTTCTCCCTTAAGCTCCAATATTATAATGGTAAAAAAAAAAAATGCTTCAAGTGGCTAAAAGAAAAACAGAAATTACCTGCCAAGGAATACAAATTGGTATCATAGCAAACA